CCCCCCCCCCCCCCCTTCGGATCGAACCGGGGCGCGGCCCCTAGCGGTGATGAACGAATCAAATGGAGAAGTTGAGGTTTCCTTCGGCTGCCTTCGTACGCGGCGCCAGAGCCTATGTTTGCAATAGATACCCTGTCGTTTTGCCGGATACAGCAGCAGTGGTCGGAATGGCGTGGATTCGCGTGTGCAGGGGGTCGACAGCAGCAGCAGCACGTCCTTATCTGCAAAACACAAGCTGAGAATGAAAATTGGCCAAGTCTCTACCGGAGTTGTGATCATTGTTGAGGCGTTCTCGTTGGTCCGGTGTTGGGTTGCCCTTGTGTGCGTGGGCTGGTCTTTGGTAGTAGTGGAGTATCAATAGGAAGCTTTTCTGTTCCGGCTGTGCATTGCATACCATCGGCGTTTGGTGGGACCGTTTGTTTGGGCGTCCTCGCATGAAAGGGCTGGTCGTTAGCACGGTGTGTCGAGAGGGTAGATTGCTGTAATGGCTGTGCATTGCATGCAAGCTCGGGGCCGCCTAGAGAGCACACTCTATGCTGACAAACCCGACAATAGACCCGGCCTTTCTCCTGATTGGCTGCCCGGATGGATTTTTCGTCCTAATGTTGGTGCTGCAGCCGTGCACGACTCTGTCGGAATTGCCATAATCGTTCTCGGCGTTGGATAGTTGTGCCTATAGAGTGGATCTCGTGGGTTAGGCAGGTGTGTCATTGTTCTGTGCGCTTATACTAGTGTTTGGTTGCGCAGAGAAACGCATTGATTGGTGTTGTGATGCGTGTGCATGTTTTAGTGTGTTGCGTGGGGTGTCCAGGTGTGTTCCTTTCGTGGAAGGTGCATGTGCAGAAAAAGAAACAACAGGTAGCCTTGTCGTTCTCATGGTCGTACACGAGTACAAATGCATTATTCATGTTTTATCTCCAGGAGTTCCCTCACTGTTGTCACCTTCGGAGAGTAGAGCATTGAATATGGCTACCCAGGCGTGCCCGTTAGATTTGCTAGGTTCCGTATCCTAGGCTGTGACCGTTTTTCTGTATAGCGCGCGCTGTCCTTCCGTTGGCCGGGTTGGGGGGTGCATGGCGAAGAGCGTGTGATCTTTGTCGGAAAGAAGAGGAAGCATCGTATGGCAGCTAGCTGGAAAGAGTGAGGTTGATCTATCTTGTGATTGGCAATGACATCTTGAACGCGAGTGAGATGATACAGCAGTACTCTAGTTTCAAAAAATAAATAGAGAAACAATTTGGCAACCATCCAAATTACGGCTGTTTGTTGCTACCGGGGTCTCCTTTACAAGTCAGTCTACCCGAGGCAGCACTGCACGATTAATGGACAATCGAGCACTTGTTTAGAACATAACTTCCGTTGTGTGCATGCATAGCGTTGGATCGAAGACTGATTCGCAGATACGGGGGCGTCTGGAGAGGGCGTGATGGAGCATGTGAACTTCAGCAGGAACGCCGTCAATCGGTTGTACACACGCAGACCCGGCTGAATCTCTACTGCACCAGCCGTCTTTCCTTCGGCAGCACAAATCCTGGCGAACGTCCGCCCCTCTAGCTCTCCTGTTCTTTCATGCTTTATGTTATGCACCGTCGGCCGTCTTTCTTGCAGGGAGGGGCGCGCCATCAATAATGAAAGAGAGCGCACGCTATTGTAAATAGGGAGAACTGCAATGACTTTTACCCACGAACTACCCCGCGCTCGTCCCTAAGCAGGTGCGGGGTGCACTATTGTTGATGTTGTATGAGCGTGAGCACCAAAGGCATTTACAGCATTGTTGTACATTCTTGAAAATGTAACGATTTGATGGGGAAGGGAGATTCGTACAGTAAGATCCTTACGCCACTGCTGTGGGTAGACCGTTGTTATTATTATATTATATATAATAATATATTACGGCTATTCTAGTCTTTCTGTGTGCAGTTTTTGATCTTACGTCCTTGCGCCATGAGAGTCTGTCTACAAGAACGGAATTTGAATATATGGCATGCAGCTTTCTCCTATAGAGCGGTTTTCATTTTGTATGAGTCGTGAAGATCTACAGAAACGTGCCGATAGCCCGTTCTGCCTCGTGTACGGACGGCGGTGCATGCATATGAGGAAAACGAATGAACGAAAGACCGCCAAGAGAACGAGACACGCGCCAGAACATGGAACCAGATAGGGAACCCCCGATGGAACAAAAAAAAATAAACGACTTGGTTCCGCCACCTTTTCCTTTGCGCACCGCGCACCGGAGGGAGGACCGGAGGACCGGAGGTGTTCACACTTCACACTGCGGTGCTGCACGTTGCGCGTGCCAGTCTCCATGCTGCCAGGGGATATTCATTTCGCTGCAGTTTGGCCAGCGGCCCCCGACGGAGCAGCACGGAAGGTGAAAGCATGCCGGTTGTAGAATGCACTTGGGGCGGGTTTTTTTCCGAGGTTCCACCGCTCACTGATGATGGCGATATCATGCATTCAACACCGGCACTCTAGGTGGCTAAGCAAGAATAGCATCATCTGTGTGCGCAGCTCGAACGGGCCTCGCCCATCCTCGTACCATCCTCTCGAAACCTCTGTTTTCAGGTAATCGTCCCATTGCAATGTTCGTTAGCTGAGGCATCAAGGACAGTCGGGACCTTGGTCGGTCTGCCGCGGGAGCGGCCGCCTACACCTGGCGCAAGCGAGATCGAGACGTTGGCGTTGGGTGAGTTCGCCCGCTGTCGATGAGTCCATGCGCTTGCTACATATGTTACCCGCTTGGTGTCTCGACGGTAGAAACTGCTTGTGCGCGCCGGAACAAAGAAAGTAACAGACGGTACACAGGTGTGCCGTTTGTTGCATACGTTAGATACCACACCCTGTGGACCGATTTTCAAAGATAGATTACATGCGCATACGTATGCATACTCCACGAAGATGCCCACAGCTTGTAGTCAATTGATGAACTTTCGGAAAGCTCATGGCGAATATGTTTCCAACGCTGAGATTGTTTGTGCTGCGGGGCTGCGGAGTACTCGAGCTTTGAAAATCAGCCCCAAGGGGTGTGTGATATCTTACGCAGCCCACGGCAAAAGCACTGCGCTGCGGTCGTTACACACGTCAAATGACTCTAGACTAAACGTAGTCTAGGGACGTACTATGGCATACGTCGGTATCCCATAGACTATGTGTTTTGTACTAGCAAATGCAACACAGATACAAGAGACTGCTGGACCCTTCTCGCGTTCGTTGAAGGCGAACAGGTCGGGCTTGTGGATGCAGCTTGTGAACACGGCACCGACACTAGGCCTGTCCTCCATCGGCCGTTTTATTTTCGATTTAGATACACAAACTTTATTTCTATACTAATTTCAAGTAATTCCACCTTCTTATTCTCCGTCATACAAGCAAAACGGCCGATGGAGGACAGGCCTAACCGCACGGATTCTTGCCGAAGTTGCAAGCTTACACACTCGGCCCCAGATGTGTCGCCTTTGGTAAATGCCATTCTACCCGTCGCAACATGTTTCGGGCCGCAGCAAAGGTAGGCTTTTTACTTGTGCTTTCTTGCGAGACGGAGGGATATGCTGCGAACTGAACGACAACTAAGTGGGAAGCCTGACTGAAAGTTAAAAAACGGTTTTCGATCACCCGCTGCCTGCGTGAGGGCATCGAATGACTTGCGCCCAGGGCCCTTTTGCGTGTTCAGCACTTCGACTTCTACACCGTCAGCTCTGGTCGTGGTGGGGACCAAGAGCTGGGGCTGCTCGCCCGGCGTCTTTGCTTTCTTAAGACGCGTCCAGACAGACCTCGCAAGGTATCTACGTTTGTATGCCAGGGCACGGTGATTTTCCAAAACACAGATAGGGCCCGCACTCACGAACCTCTAGTTCGGCCGAGGATGTTTTTTTTTTAATCCTAGGGTTACTTTACAAATGGCGCTATATATGTTCTGAAGGGGTTCTTTACCGGGCTCACAAAACGGCGCTCACGTTCTCAGATTTTGAGTTTTTCGAGGCTCAATATCTTGACTCCCTAGGTCTTGAGTGCGGGCGCAAACTGTAGCCCTCTTGACCGATGTACACGACACCCAAGACAAGAACGAGCGAGGAGGGCGGAAGGGGCGTTTCGCTGGATAGCGACGGGCGCAGCTACTCTACTTCCAAGTGGTTTGACATGCCAAAAATACGCGGTGTTTTACGCGTTCCGCGTAAAACACCGCGTATTTTGCTGGCATGCAGCTAGAATAATCCATGCTGAAACTACAAGAGGCGGACTATTCCAATCGAAGTTGGTTCGATCGAGAAGGGTGCTCCGTGTCGGTCTGCTGTGTCCGATGTTCATGGAGGATGTTGCCGGATCCATCGAAGGTTGCCAGGCCTTCCATTGTCCGGAGAGCAGGTCGACCCCTTATGAGCAGGCAAAGAACACCCAGCCGACCCTCACATGCCCTGTTGTCCTCCGCTCTTAACTTGTCAAACTGCTGATACACGTTGCCGCGGATACAACCACGAAAGTTAAGTGAACCGTGCTGCATAGCGAACGATGCTGCTACAACCTCTGATGATCTGTCTCACAATGCAACCCGAGAGAATCGGACTGAATTCTCGACGCTGAAAACGCAGCGCCGCACGGAAGAACACTTCCGTGCTGAATAGGTTGCGACATATGGCGTGGGTTTTGGGGTTTGGATGCGACAGGTGGTGCCATTGCCCCGTTTATCTCACCTCTGTGGCCATGGATGGCTTTTGGCGGGGCGATGTGCATATGTATTGTTACCGTAGGTAACGAGTTACGAGATAGTTGCTAACCATTTTCCGTCGCCCCGGGAACCGATATAATCGTGCTTAATGACTGCAGGGACGCCTCAGACTTTGGTTTTTGGCAGCTACGGCATCTTGCTTTGCGCGTGGAGGCCTCCTTGTCCCCTGCCGGGGATGATGCAAGCTACGCCATGCCCCCCCGTCTCTTTGAGGGGCGCAACTGGGATGACGAAGAGAGCGAGTCGTGGGAGGATGAATACATGTGGTCTGATGAGACCGTGGACAATGACGGGTTGACCGGGGTGACGGCGGTACCAGACGACGCAAAAGACATGTCGCCGGTACCTGTCTCTGAGCCTCTGAGGTAAAAAGGATGTTCCGCGGCAAGAGCAGCAGTGATATCCACGACGGAGCGTTTTTTGCTTGAGTCCATACCCCGCAACCATTAGACCCCGAGATGGACTGCAGCTTGGGGACAGTCGGACATGTCGGGTTTTCTCACCTCCATCCTGTGGAGTACTTCGTTGCACCGCCCGCCGTGATTCTCAAACGTGTCGTTGTCTCCAGCTTGTAACTTTCTCTCCTTGCTCGTTTTCCCCAGGAGCGATGGTGTTTCAATGGCCTTGTCGCCATTGACTGTTTCACAACCAGAAGACGCAAACACGCTCACGGGTGTCACGAGAACCGAACACGCCACCGGCCACGCAGACGAGGGTGTTTCCCTCAACAAAATGTTTTTCGACGGTCTGCCACCGAAGGCGCCACATCGTCCAACCAAGCCAATGATGACGGACCAGCGGACGCAGCAGCCATCTGGCCCCGGGTTCGGATCGCCAGTGGTTGGCCGAAGACCATCTCCTGTCGGTTATCGCGGGAGCCCTCTCCTGATCCCCCCGGATCAAGCACCTGCGCTCGCAATGGCGCAACCAGCGAACGCAAACGTGGACGCAGATAAGCTGCTACCTCCGTCGGCGATGGGGGCGGGGTTTTCACCTTTACGCAGTGACGGCGAATCGCCAAGCGCAACACCGGACGAGGTCTCGGGGTTGCAAGGGGGATCAGCCGTGGATTTGTCTACTCTAACGACGTCTTCGATGGAAGGGCGGTTCAATGCTGTTGTGGGTGATGAACCATCCACCGTGGTTGGTCCAACGACCGTTGTTAAGGAAACAGTCGATGGAGCGCCAACTGGTGTTCCCGGAGGGGAAACTGGCATACAGCCAGCAGCGGAACCGCATGCAATCAGCCCTCAAGTTGATTCCCTTCCCGCTGCAGCAACTGGTACCAAGGCGGGCCTTCAAGACAGGGTAGGTGATTCAGGAGCAGAAACAGAACCCGACAACGCTATGGTTTCGGCAGCAGTGAGCGAAGACTTAGCTTACGTCCACCGGGGCCCGGAGCTCCAGAGTTACGGGATCACGGGGTCCGTTCTCGTGGCTGCCTCATGCGGGGCCCGCGCCCAGGTGCGAGTCACCGATAAGCAAGGGCACATCGCAACCGCAACAGCCAACCCTAATGTCGCGGAGGAAAAACCCGCGATTGCCGTTCCGCCCACACGAGAATACTTGTGCAAGCCAGGAGCGGTGCAGCACGGTGGAGCGCCCCCCAGGTTCCTTCCGGCGCTTATGTACCGTTGTTCCCCGGCTGTGAAGGTGCTCCCGGTCAGAGTCACGTGCCGGTTACGAACCGCTGGCAACCGTGTGCTCGTTTGGGTGCAGGTCATCGCTAACCCGCAGCTTCCGCAGCCTCTCAGCGGTGTATCGGTGCTGGTCAACCTACCGTTTTCGCCCCGCGATGAGGTGAGAGTTTTGTCGTCGTCGTTTCCGTAGCATGGATTTCTGCCCAGCGCCGTGCACAGTTGGACGGGGCACTCAACAGTCGTGAGCAATTTGGCTGTTTTCTTGGCACGAGCCCTTCCGTTCGGGTGACGTACAGTACTCTGCGTACTTTTCCGACTGGATCGTCGATAGCAAAGCGCTCCGTCGCCAGTATTAACGTTGCCTCACATGTCCAAGGAAGTCCCGATGCTTCGATATTATGCCGTCCAAAGGCAACCCCTCAAATCTATCCTTTCTGCAAATGCGAGCGTAGTCGGCCGATAAGGTTCTCTCTGGCTGCGTATGTTTACCTCGTGGAAGATTCGGCACCTCGTGTGTCATTACCGCTTCCGGCATCCGGCATCGAACATCGGCAGAGGACTCATCTGACAAAACAGAAATCTCAGTGCGTATCGACGAGACATCGTGTTCAATGACCGAGGCTAGTTAGCAAGCCCACTGCTTGTCTCTACACTTGAGGCGGCGTACGGCGGAACTGCCCGCAATTTCCTTACTACTGAAGTAGTGCAACCAGATGAACCAAGTGCTTGTTCCCTCCCATCTTCACACGGCGTGCAGGGCGACGTCAAATCTGAGCCGCCGGCTACCCTGAAGACCGATCGCAAGATGTTGGAGTGGGTGCTACCTTCGGGCATGCAACAGGGTGGCAAGCAAGTCTTGCAAGCACGGTTGAGCGCAGACGAGGGGCAAGTGCGAGTGGCAGCCATCCCCCAAACCGCCCCAGCGATGGTCAAGTGCCACTTGCTGGATTCTACGTTCTCGTCGGTTGAACTAGAGGTGGCGGCGTTGGCGAAGGAAGGCGTGGCGCCAGCCGTTGGAAGCGTCGTGAAACGGTGTCGGGTGCAGTGCAAGCAGGTGTAACCAATGTTTTGGCCCTGTGTTTTGTGGAATCAAGTTCGTTGGATCGAGGGATGGAAACAATGTTGGACAGGGTACGAACCTGGATGCCGGTCGAGTGATGATGCACTATGTTTGGTCCGTCCGTGAAGTAGAATGTTAAGCTTTTGACGGATATTGGTGTGCGTGTGTAGAGGAACCCACCGCATTTATTCCCCTTGTCGGAGTGTGGCTGATGCATCATGCTGCGACCAGGCTCCGCACACAGTTGCTAGCCTTGCCTTGGTTGTGGGTATACAATGGCGTTCCTCGTCATTTACATCAGTTCTTCGGTTTTGAACACAATGATTCTCCTCGAAACGCGGATTATAAGTGAGAAATACAGCGTTCGTGCGAACAGCTCGGCAACAAAATATCATACTTGTACATGCTAGCACATCCGGCGAACACTCTAACAATCACCGAATCGCAAAAAGCAGCAGGCAGCGGGTACACGCATACCTTTCGTGGGGAACCCAACAAAGGAATTACTAAACGGTAGAGAAATTGAAATGTATCTATGCACGTCGTTTTTTTTTCGGTTCCGTTTTGCACCCTCTCCTCTCACGACCAGCCAAGCTCTCTTTCGCGGCGGGAAGCAAGCAAAGGCGGTGCGGCTTCAGGCGACGCTGGGGGCAATCTCTGGGCTAGTACATACAACGGAAACAGGGCACGATAACAAACCACCTACAAGCGAGGCGTGCTCGGACATCTCCGGCCTAGCAGGGTAAAATATCTCTAGTGCGGCGCGCGCGCAATCAAATAACCAGTGATCCCAGATCATCTACAACCGAAGAGTCCCCCGACGCGTCCGGCTCTGCAGGAGCAGCCAATTGTCCGCGGGCTATCGCAGCGTCTTTCTTGCGGCAGCACTTCTTGTACTTGAGGCCCGAGCCACACGGGCAGTCCGAAGCTCTCGCAACCTTCTTGGCCGCCTTTTCGCTCTTCTTCGCAACGCCTCCACCCCTGCCCTTCCTTTCGCCGGGTCGCCCGTTCTCCTGCTGCTTCTCGCTGGGAACCCCACCAAGTTCTAGCTTCCCCGTCCCCTTCTTGTCTCCCACCGCGTTGTCGACGCCTTCTTCCTCAAGGCCGGGCTCGTTTTGAGCGGCGATGAGAAGCTCTATCGCGTCGTCGCCTCTTCCTCCGGTGGTTTCCAAGGCCGCCACAATATTCAGCGGGGACGCCCACGGGCAGCTTCGAGCCACAGCCGCTTCCTCCTCAGGCCATGGGCTTTCTGCGCCACCAAAGAAGATATACGGGAGGCAACGAGGTCATGTTGAGACGGAAGGAAACCGAATTAACAGAAGGAAACACCATGAACCAACACTGGCATCTCCTTGTCTCCCTTTCTCCATGTAGGGGGCGATACACCTCGTCCGCTTGCTACACTCCGCATGGTGGTCGTCTTTCAATGTCAACGCGAATATACGCTCGCTGGCTTGGAGCAAAGATACACGGCGACGATCACTCGCGTTCCGCTGAGCTCCTGTTTTAGACGCCCTCAGACTGGGAACCTCCCGCATGGACAGCTTGGGCGATGGACGGCACAAATGGAATTCTTACGCGCCACAACTCGGTGCACACCGTTGCACACCGCTATCTACATCACCCCCTGGCTTTCCAAAGTGGCCGACGAAGCACTCGATATTGAGCAAACCCTGCTGAGAACAGTCAAAAAGAGGGGCGCAGCAGAAAAGCGCCTCACAGGCGGCTGCATGCAGTTTTTCTCTCGGCTTGACGTGTCTCTTCGCCGAGAGGAACATACTTTTGCAGAACAACTAGATCCGGCGTACGGTAAGTATCTTTGCTTTCTGGCGATCTAATGTTCTTGGGGTACGCAGGGGGAAAGGTGGCGAACTAACACAAACAAAACAAGGAAAAAGCTCCTATATGTGTCTCTTGTTGTGTGACCCCGGCTGATACGTAAGATGTATACACCAAAAGGCCTGGAGGCTGGCGCCAGAATACATAGATGGGACGCACACACACACCGACGTTTCTAGTTCTTCTGCGTTCTTGATCACCTCTTGTGCGCGAGCTTCCCTTCGCTGTCGGAGTCTGGAGGGTTATCGGCAGCGCGGGCCCATTGGCCTCGTCGCCTATCGCCCTAACGCTATTGTAGTGGTGCTCCCCGTGGTAACTCAAGTGGATCGTCCGTCTGGCCTTCTCGCACGGGATGACAAATCTAGGTGCCTTGAACTGGTGGACGACGACATTGGTCTGCTTGAGCGTGCAACAGGGAGGGCCACAGCACATACAAGGCCGTAGTGACACCGGTAGCGATCGCTAGTTGCTTGCCCGTGCACGGCCGCAGTCGTTCAGAACGACTGCAAAACGCGCGCCGCGAATCTTAACCCGCACAGGGACATGTGCAAGGAGCTGTGGAGCAACTTACGAGAAAATAACGCTCACACACCAAGCAGGAGCTCGAAAGCATTGATAGTTGGGACAACACCCAACCACCGGTTGGGCACGAACCGTGTCATATCCCGCACGAGGTGCAGCACCTCGGCAAACGCAACGCACCTTGTACAGCTGACTCGCGGCCACGAGTTCCTGGTTCCCCCCCCACTCTGCTTCCCGTCGCATGCGCTCCAGGTAGTCGCCGAAAGTCTCGTCGTCTTCCATGTACGGCTCGAAAACCTCCCTGTTTCTCTCTAGGTGATCCATAACCTGTTACCGCGGCACCACAATAAGAAGGTTGTACAGCCAATGAAAATCCTGACACTTTGTCGAAAACTGCGCCATTGGGACATACGCAGACAAGCATCAGAGTGCTGCAGGACAGTGCAAGAAAACATTGATGGAAGAGGAGCGGAACAGAAACAACAGAGCGCTGCTGTATGCTGGTCTCCAGTACAACAGCAGTAATTCACTCTATTTACAGCACTGATGTAAGAAACGTTGTTTCGGAAGGCAAGGGCGGAAATGCGAATTCAAGAGGTACATACTGTATAGGTGCTGTTTGGTGTGTGATGGGCAAAAAGTCTCCCGTAGTTTCCTACCAAAGACATAGGTATTAATGTTGTTGGTTGTGATGGGGAGAAAAGTCTCCACTACTGTAGTTTTCTACCGAAGACTTGAGTGGAAGTGCTGTTTGGTGTGATGGGCGCAAGTCTCTCCACTATTTTAGCTTCCTACCGAAGAGATGAGCATAACTGTGTGATGGGCGACAAGTCTCTCCACTACATATAACAGCTTCCTACCTTCGCTCGGACGGAGGAATGATCCTGCGACCGACCTTCCAGTTGGTCCGCGAGGCTCCTGAAGAGACAGTTGCCGTCTCCTTCGATGAACTTGATCTTGCACCCGATCTGCTCGACCTGCGGCGGCATAAGCAAGGAGATTGGAAGGTCAGTCGCTCACATGCTTCCACAAGCGTTCAACAACCACCACCCGCAGAGAAAGGGCAACATCTTTGGAACAAGGTGTACTTTCTCCTGGTCAGCGTCCCATATACACATACCTGAAGTTCGACGGGCAGCGTTCGCCAAAAATAATGGAGATAACTTGGAGGTGCGCCCAAGTGTGGAGGTAAGAGCGGAGACGAGGCGCGATGGACGCACTACCATCAACGCGATACGGTCATGTGTATGTGTCTTTATACTAGCATCGACAGCGCTAACCGGTTGACCAATCAAAGACGTCAGTCTCAGTGCGGCTGAAAACAGGGTGCGCTGTTCGTGAGCCGGTGCACAACTAACTAAACTGCACACACCAAGTTCATCGCTGCTCTGCTAGGAGAAACGGCCGGTGTTTCTCCTTGTCTTGCCGTATCCAACAAGCGCATGGGTCACACTTCAATCCGGGGAAACAATAGAGGGGTCACATGCCTAACCAATGATACCAACCGTATTTTAAGCAATGACAAAAGGCGTGTCGCACGCCGTCTCATCAGCCCCTTCCAAAGGCAGGGAGAGGAATGCACGGGGTGCTTGTCAAAAGTCGGTCCGGACTTTCTCTGTTCCAAGAGTGGCAGGGATGGGTGGCACGGGTGTACCAGATTTACCACCCCATCAATCTCCAGGTGAGGCCCTGGACATGAAGTGCGGGGGCTAGTGAGATGGGACGGCTCCAAAGGTAAGGATGAAGGACTCATTATTTTCTCCTTACAAAAACTCAACAGAGGTATTGAATGGTAGACACGCATGGGAGAAACACCCCTCTGAACCGGAACAAAATAAAAAATGAACGACACGGCTGGAAAAATGCGTTGTTCAGCAGGGGACATGTAGTAAGGGTTGAAAACACGTCACCTATGTGTCTGGCTGGCATCCGTGGACCTGCGGGCCCGTTTGGCTTCGGGGATCTGTTTACCTTCCATCTCAAGTACTACTTTGCTAGTGGATGGTCTCGTGTGTTCCTTGTCGCGGCTGCGGGGGGGCTGTGCAGGGCTGTGGAAAGGACCGCGCCCTGAAGCTAGAATACGTGTTTTCAACCCTTACATGATATGCCCCCTCCTGAAAATAACACATTTTTCCAGCTGTGGCACGAATGTTTCTTTTGTTCGTATCAGAGGGGTAGTTTTCCCAGGCTTGTCTACCATCTGGTCCGGGATAGATGAGCATGAAACTCATTATGTTGTTGAGTGATGGCCACTGTTGCCCGAGCAGCATGTGGCGATATCTCACCCGTGGGTACACAGGTACACAGACAGTTTGATAGTCATCTTGGCAGTACACAAAGTGTCACTCGATTCCCCGCCTTTTCTCCGCTTCCCCCGCGTTCGCGTTTCGCTGAAGCCACCAAGTACATGTCTGCCCATCTTGTCGTCCTATTCCATCCCACGGCACCATACCATGGCAAACTGACGGAACCGCATTATTGGTTGCCATTTGTCGGGAAGCGGGAAGCGGGGAGTCCAACTCGCATCCGCTATATTGCAGCTAGCTTACAAAAAAGGGCGGTGCACCTGGCGTGGTGTGAATTCGCTGTACTCGGGCGCCAAAAAACAACCAAAACGCAGCCCCACAGCAGCACACCATCATCGTCGATATGCGTATCGTTGGGAATTCGAGGCACTTGTTTTCGGCGTGGTTGCTGCAGCGGCAGACGATACGGCCAGGTTTCTCTCGTCGTGCCGCTGTCTTTCGATCACATGGGAGCTGTGTCGTGTGCCCCAATCTACTGCTGCACGGCTGGATCTCACGAAGAGATTGATATCACATGTCATCCCTTGCTGGAACAACAGCAGTCGCAATGAGGCAACGCACTTTATACGCCAGGAGAGGGTGTCGAGCATAGGATATAGGTCGAGAGACTCCGGGGGGAGTATCATGGAGACAGGGTACAATCTGCTGTGTCGGTGCAGAAAGCCCGTCCTGTGTGGGTTCCGCCGTTCCCGAACAATCAGAAAGCCGTGTTCCGAACACCCCGGCAACAGGGTTCATGTGTATTCCTGGAGCGCTTTTGCCCACACGGTGTGTACAACACGTGCACACCAGGCTGGTTCTTTGGTAAACATGCAAACGCGAGATGGGCCGGTAATGCATACAAATGAGCCTCAAAGAAACGAGAGAGCGCGGCAATCGCACATCGCGCACAGCAACAACAACATCATACAGGTTTCGTGAGGTCGATTGGGCATGTATGTACGATAGGAACCAACCAGAAGGGCGCGGAGAATCTGAGTCGCAGATTCAACCATTTAGTCTATGCATACCTGAGCCTCGAAATCTCGATCGTCTGCGCTCGACGAGTACAGCGAGTTCCGCATCCGGTCCTTCCTCAGCCTGGCCCTTTCGTTCCTCTCCTTCGCCTTGTCCGCTTGCTGGCCGGCGGCACTCCCTCTCTGCTTCCCATGCTTCCCCATCGGCCACCATCTACTACGATAAGAGCTGTCCCCGTCCCGATCGCTAGACGACGATGATGCTGCCGCTGCTGCCGCCGTACCTTGCACGAGAGCCAACGCCTTACTTAAAAACACGGTTTCTGCCGGTCTGCACGCTCTCGCGTGCAGTAGCCTGCTACTGAAGTGTGGTGGCCTTTTTGTGCTTTCATGCGATGGTGGTGCTGTGTCGGTGTACCGTCGATGCGATGGTCAAATGGGTGCGAGGTCTGTCGACGTTAACTGCTGTGGGAGCTCTGCAGTTGGGAGGTTACGGGTACGTCTGTGCGGTGGATCTTTGATTGGCGTGTTGGCACGACCAGCCGAAGAGACCTGAGTTTATTGGTAGCGGGACGCGGGATGTTACGTGGCACGGCACTAAACGAAATATCGTTCAGATCGAGACTACTGCTGTAGATATATCGTTACCACCTCTTTCTCCCCAAAAATCCAAACACAGAATTTCCGTTGTCACTGCGTAGCCCGCAGGTTGAGCGGAGGAATCTGAAATGTGGTGGCTAAATGCAATGACCTGCCACCGGAGGCTGGCTATATTTCCGCCGTTCGTGGCATGTGATGTCGAGGAATGAACGCCAAGCGAGATCGAGCGACCCCATGCACGAACAAGTTCTGGACAGCATGCATGTAACACAAACACAATAGATGTCGCAGTTCTGATAGAGGTGTTGCGGTTCGACCCGCCATTTCCACTAGAAGCAAGCATGCGTTTCCCCGCGGGCTGCACGAAGATGCAATTGCCCCGGTATCGCCTGTGTCAGCTCCGTTCTTGCCACACGAGCTCGGTGAGCAAAAGGCACCTCTCTTTACCTGTAGGGCCGGGGACGGTCGGTCCTGTCCGTGGTGCACACTATTGTACGCTGCACATGGTACCGTAGGTTGCAGAAGATATCACACCCCCTGGGCCGGTTTCGAAGCTCGATTTCTCGGCAGGAAAAACAGTAACGGCGCCGAGAATGGCGGCGTTGGAACCGCCTCGTCGAAAGCTTTCCGAAAACTTGTCATGTTTGAACTTGGCATGCTCTTCGCCTTGGAGTAATCGAGCTTTGAAAGTTGGTCCAGGGGATGTGGTGTCTTGTGTAACCCACGGTAGTCTCATCATCTCTCTCTCTCTCTCTCTCTCTCTCTCTCTCTCTCTCTCTCTCTCTCTCCCTCTCTCTCCCTTGCTCCCTCTCCGGCATGGACGTCCAACCATGCCCCGTGGTCGAGGGAGATCGAGTGAGTGATTAGTTCCTTTTCCGTCCCGGACGAATCAAAAACTGCCAACTAGTCACCATTCTTCTATGCACTACTATACCTTACAAGAGCTTCAATCGGAAACCCATTCGCGCCAGACAAAATATGTACACAAACGCGAACGAACGTAGCGTTCGCCGCCAGACAACCTTTGTCGACTCGCCATGGGGCGCCGCCGCCGCTTCTGCTCAACGAGACTTGGGGGAGCATAACACCACGCCTTTACCGAGCGAGGCGACCCTACTTGGAGCGTGTTGCGCCCGATTCCCTACATGTCCCTCAGAAGCCCCCTGCCCCCGATAGAACCTGAGCTTGCGAAAGCTCCTGCTGGGACATCATAACTGGATGCGCCTGGAGAACCTTGGATTGCCCAATCACAAACAGTGTGAGGAAACGTGCCCTGTATGGGGACGCGACATCCCCGACTACTCATCCTGCGTCGCCGTGGCTACGCAACGAGAACCATGGGCAGGGGTTACACCACGTCTTTCCCGAGCAAGGCGACCTCCCCTCCCGCTGTTTGTGTCCGCTTCCCTTGTTATCCCTCAATCCCCCCCCCCTCTAATAGAACCACCCGGTACATAAACTCCTGCGAGCGTGCAAACCATGAGAACTGGATGCGCCTCGAACACCTTGGATGGCCTGATTACCACAGGGAGCGGCCTTCTTCTATGGGACCACACGGGCGAAACATCAGCCACTTCGCGCCTTGGAGGAGGTGCCGTGCTAACCGATGACGCCCACAGAGCAACAGAGTTGGATGTGTGCAGGTCTCTTCGACGAGGGTCTGGCGCTTTCACCGGAACATCATGCCCACGGCGGTAAATGCCAGAGCCATGCCAACACCTGGGGGGGCACAAGCACGAAGCAAACCAGAGAGGGTGAGCTTGCGTGCGTGCGACGGGTAGACTCGAAGCGTGCAAGCGTATATGTCTGCGCACGTTGGAGTTGGGCTTCCAAACTATTTACCTCACGGAGGGATGAAATGGACCGAGATAACAACGGAAACAAAAAAAATCAAGTCGTGCAGGTTGACTCCGATGGTTGACAGTTCAATCCTTGTCGACACCCCCGCTCTGCACGAGGAGGGCCCGACTGGCATACATTGGTGTGCGCAAGGGGCGACCGTTTATGAAAATGATTCGAAGCAAACCCCTGCCAACCACAAGGTACAACGCACGAGTTGTCCGTAGACGTAATGCATACGGTTTTCGTCGGCGATAGCTTCGACGAGTTTACCTCATCCGCGGGTCTCACCTCCGAACATGTAGGTAGAGACATAGAACCGTATATATTAGGCCCTAGACGCACGTCTATCTCTCGAAATGAAGATGATTGTGAAGGTGGTATAACTCGTGATGCTCCTGATAGTCTCGGCTTGGATATCTTGCTATCGCACGCAAAACGGCGATGCTGAAAACCGTGCCCGTAGCAACTACGATTGGAGCCCCCGAAGCCCGCCGGAGCATGACAACACCGAAAAAAAAGAGCGCATTCTGGTGTTCGCGCAATCCCTAGGCTCTTAGTTTCACGCCCATGCATTGTGCCAGATGCTGACGTACTCGTCACACCGCCACAGATACAGCAACACGTTCCAGGCACTAGTGGCCGTGCTTCCTCACCCCACGTCATGGACTGCAGCATGCTGCTCCCGAAGGTCTGCGGTGCGGGGTCCTGCTGAAGAAAGGGCTGGAACTTCGGTGCGGCTGGAGCGCGCTCTTCTTCTCGCACTTCCTCGAGAGCAGTCGAGGCCCGTGGCCGTTGCTGCTCAGGGGGTACGGCAAAGTAACCCAGGGGGTGGGGGGGGTGAGGGGTACTTATTTGTTGCTTGCCTTAGCCACTTGACCCTTGACCACAGGCGTGCATCACTTACGACGGCGGGCCGTTTCTACTCCAAATTTAGAGCAGGCACCTCGAACAATCGGGGGGTCTGCACGTCCTTCTGCGTGCTGGTCTTCCATAGCGTACATGGCTATTTGTTGCGAATCTTTGCACGCTCCGAGATATAGGTGGCGGGCGCGGTCAATTTGCAGGACTCTTTGGTGGAAGCCGTCAGCAACAGTCGCTGCTGTTTCTTGTCATCTACACCGGACGCCGAGCCATAATTGCTGAGCACAGCGCCCAATCAATAGCATTGGAACAAAACAGCAGCACCAAGACGGACTTCCCGTTTTTGCACGAAACAGCAGGGCCTTCGCGGTGTGTGGAATGCCTCTGATTCGGAACGCCCCTTGTTCGGTGGTCCCATCGGGCCTGATCAGTTCCCTCGACACTTCTGTAGCTGTGAGAAGCATTCAGTTGTGCCATCATGCACCACTTTCTCGGAGTGACAAAGATTTGTCAAACTTGTCCGTTTTCATTTAATGCGTATCACTATCACGGTCTCCTACCTGATCTTACCGGTCTAGCCTAGATAGGCTAATGCGGTGTATCTACGGCGTATCTATGCTTCCAAGCGAGGTCATGCCCTCAGTCATGCCCTCAGTCCCCCATTGTTGTTGTTGTTGTCTTCACATTAAAAACCGTTCCGATCTCTATCTACCCAGTACCTTTGTATGTCCGTACTGATCCAACACTCGACGCGGTCGATTCCCGTGGTCACAGGTCAACTTACCCTAAGGGTACACTCAAATAAGCTGGCCCCGAGGGGTTCGCATGTTAATAGAAGTCAACGACAGATATTCTGGAGTCCTCCACTCCCTCTGCGCGCTATGCGAGGTAACAACTGAGGCTAGGAGTCACCATCGCAGGCCGGAGAGAAAGAGGTACACCCCCTTGGTTCAATCTTGGTACTTCACAACGCAAGCAGAGACAAGGCCATCTGGCACAGAAAAAGAGAGAACAAACGAGCGAGAAAAAGAAAACAGAGAAAAATAAAAAATAAATAAAAGGAAACAGTAAGGAAAGAGAAAATGAAATGAAAAACAGCCAGGAGAACAGGGGACCAGGCCGAAAATAATAAGAAACAAGCGACAGAAAAAGGCACACGGTGGGGAGACCACTAACGACAAGCAAACACGCAAATATGGCCACCAACCAGCGATACATTGTAATGGTACGTCATCACTAGTGGGGGGTTGGTGCAATGGTGCAGTGTTGGGGGGGGGGAATCGGCTAAAAGAAATTCAATGCGGCACGTATCGCGCCACTCGGTCCGTCTCGTCTCGTTTGCTTTTTTCCCTCGCCGTATCGTCCGTCTCCTGCCCGCCTTCCGCCCCATTGGTTGGTGGCTTGTGTTTTTGTTTGAGAGCCCGTTATCGGCTGGCCTCTTCTTCCTTCTCGTGCCAGGAGGTCATGAACCTCTCAGCTACCTGCAGCACCGCCGCATGCCAGGGTACTCCCCCCTCCGACTCCGCGGCTTCCGTACACTTTAACTTCGGTGCCGTGTCTTTCGGCACCGGGATTCCGAGACAACATGGATCGGTTTTCGTACATCCGTGGTCGGCCCCGAATACCTTCAGGTCGTCGAGCACACACTTCGGCCAAATCTGTTCCTGTCCTCCCCTACGTCGCTTCTCCCCCCCTGCCAGTTCGCCGAGCATCAGCCGTTTCGGGAGTCGCCCGTCCAGCTGCCTTGCCAATGCTCCCGCGAATAGCAGGCGTCGTTGTCGGATCGTGGCTTCAACGCTCTGGCATTCGACTCTCTTCAGCGTCTGGGTGTAAGAGAGCTGCCGGTAGGTGTCCTTGCGCTTGTACCCGATAACTCGAAGGAGCAGTCGGTGGTGTATCGACCGCAGCGTCTGATAGTGGCCGCTGAGTGGTGACCATGTCATGCAGCCGTACATCAGTGCCTCCATCGCCTCCGCCTGGAGCAGGCGGATCTTGAGTCGGAATGGCGCTTCCGGCCTGTCGAAGAGCTCCCGGCCATATCGCCTGAGGCACGCCCACGTTCCTCTGCTCCTATAGTTGATATCCCGGGTGTGGTCGCCATGTTCGTTGACGAGGCCACCGAGGTACCGGAACTCGGTCGTCTAAGCGAATTTCTGTCCCGCGGCTTCAATGGTCAGCGGTGGAGGCGGGGGGGGCTGTGATGGTGTAGTCGGCTAGTCCTTCGCGCGCATCAGGAGCGTCTCTGTCTTCTTCTCCGACACCGTCAGCCCGAACTTCCCGAACACCTCAACGATCCCATATGTGTCATTGTTGTTCCGGGGGCCCTCAAGTTTTGGAACGCATCGGCATTATCATTGCTGAAACGCGCTTGCTCTGTAACACTTACTCTGGCGGCAAGATTTCGACTTGGTAACAGCAACCGTAGAAAAGCACGAAACTACGGCCGACCTGCGTAATCTCGGCGCTGTCCGTGTATCGTTCGAAATGGGTCCGACGACAACAAACGAGGCCCTAGCACCAAGACCGGCCTAGCAACTACTCGCAACCGCTACAACGGCAGTCTTCCACTCGGAACGTGTGAATCATTGGTCTGTACAGCACTCCTGGTGTCGCTATTTGTGGACAAACGTGGCATTCAATCCTATCATCGTTTCTTCGTGGCTACACTGCTGTGCTGCCCTGCTTGAGTATCGGGTACCAGTCAGTATACCTTCGCCTTTCTGGGATCTCGGACAATTTTCCTGCCTCGGCTGCTGGTGGCGAGACGGGCAACTGCTGCGTTCATCGCAGCCCTCGGGCGCGCAGACCTTACAGCATTCATCCTCAGCTCTCTAGTCCCAGAGTGCCCAGCGCAGCGTGTGAATGTGTGCTTCCAATTGTGTGTTTCGGTCGCGGAGGCGGCGGAACTTAACCGCCCTCTTGCCTCTTGCCGCCCGCCCCGCCTCTAAGGTGACAGTCCCGTGACGTTGGCCCTCTTTTCCTCTCTCTGCCCCTGGTACTGAGGTAGCCGGTGCTTTTGCGCCCTACTCAATGCCCTCCTGCAGGCATGGTGGTGGATCCCTGCGATGAAGACTACACCTACCTCAGCTTGACGGTAAGCCGATTGTCACCGATGCGTTAGTCTCAAGGGCGCTCCACAACTTGAAGACGAAACTCGCAAGAGGTGTCACGACTCGTGATAAACGTTGCTACATGCGCTGCCGTTGTTGGCCACTATCCAGGTGGCCCGCTACGCCAAGGAGGATGCACTCGGGAAGTACATGGCACTCCTCACGCTCTCTCCCATGTGAGTGGGTCCATGTGCGAGAAGTCTAGGCATGCGGCATGTCGCATCGACTCTCACGCGCAAGTCCGTGCAATTGGCTGGCCTTGTGAACGGAGGATGCTGGTAGGTTGTTCACCCGCTTGGCCAACAACATCGCGCATCACTATTTAGTACCCATCATACCGCCTCAAGCGTCCGAAAGCCTGAACTGCTTGTCTATGTGAGAATGGTGACATTGCTGTAGGCCGTAAGATTCGAGATTGTCGGGGCAACATCCTGCTGAAGAATTGGTCTCAACCCCATCGTCTCAAGCGTATCGCATCAGAATCTTCCCACGGAACGGTTGGATGTTCGCCGTGGAGGTACATACTTTTTCTAGGAGCTCTGGACGCCGCCAAGCAGAAAGTCGACGCCCTCAACAACCCGCCGACACTTAAAACCAACATATCTCTTGCACCGTGTACCATTGGGTACACGAGAATCCGCTGCCGCTGATTGTGATGGTGCCTGGTATGCTGGCTATTACTGCTGTATTTTTGTTCCTGTCATGTTGGAATGGTGCCTTCGCAAGCACCCACGGCCTTAGCCGCCAAAGTTGAAATCCAAATGGCGACAGCGGGATAGCTGGTGCTCCGGTTACACTCGAAGGTCTGCGTGCTTCGTGGCCACCTCTGACATGACCTCCCTTACACTTGACACATCTATTATACATACATGAGATGCACGTTCGCAACCATCGTTCGCATCGATCTTCGCGCCGATCTTCCTGCGCCCATCACTGGTGTCGTTGCCCTTCAGATACCTGGCCGTCGCGTATATGACCCTTGTGGTGGTGCGGAGGGACCTCCAGGTGTTCGTCCTGGCCGTGGGGCACCTGGTAGACCTCGTCGTCAACAAGGCCCTCAAGACTTGGATCGCTGAGGCGAGACCGCCAGGTGCGGCAACAAGCAGTTGCAGCCTTTCGCAGGTTTTTTCGATGAAGTAAACATGTTGGATAAAGAATGCAACCTGGGAAGTAGGGTTAGGGTTAGGGGGATAGGGTCTGCGTACCCCCTTTTTCCTGTTCTGTTTCCTCCCAAACGTGTAGATCGCGAAATGGGTCCGCAGCAAGGCAGCTTTCCGCAGTGGGGGCCAACTAGTGCCCGCAGCAGCTTGGGGGTACGGCTAAAGCGCTCTACAACTTGGCAGCCACGACATTGATGAGGCCTCGACAAACTCAATATGTCAGAACTTGAGCACAAAGTGTGAGCTCGGGTACCAGCCTTGCCTTATGCAGTGGTAGGGAGTTGGCGTGAATCATGGTATTCGCCCCGCTCTGCTTACACTTAAACCTATATACCGGCCATTCGTCGCAAGACCATAGGAAGTAGGAACCCCAGCGTCGGCCGAAAACTAGAGGTTCTGCAGTGCGGGCGCCTACTGTATCGCCTGTGGAGTTTGAACCGAGGCTACCTTTTGAAATGCGTATTGGTGAACGGCATTTGGCAGCATTGACGCATCACCTGCGGAGTTTCGAGCTGAGGCTACCGTTGTCAACACTTTGCAAACATGCGGTTTGATGAACCACATGTATTTGCGTTTATGACAAGCAAATGGCCATAAAATTTGAAGAAAAAGATGCATGGAAAAACAAGCGAATGTGCACAGAAGCGTCGGGGCTCCCGAAGTCATTGAGGCGTCAAGACGTAGTTCGTGGAAGTGGCCACACAAAGGACCTACTGGTTGCCGGTTGGGGTGAGCGCTTGTTACCCCCAAACTTACCTATTATAGCAGCTTATGCTTGTATGCACGGGATCCACCCTCTCCCGATACCCCTCTCCGGCCCCTGATCTACGTACAGGCTGCGTCAACACAGGCCACGGGATGCCTTCTAATCACTCCCAGTTCATGTTCTTCTTCGCCAGCTTCGTGTCGCTGTACCTGTGGGGCAGGTGAGATGGTCATACTCGTTTCTACGACTACTGCAAACTCGCCGCTACGTGCACTCTGAGGGAAATCAATCCCCTCACTTGTACCCAAGTTGGTGGGATCTTCGTCTGTCGCAAAGCATGCTTCAGAGAAACAGTTCACCGAACATCCTTAGCAAGATGCAGCGCACCCTTCATGCGACTCGCCGAATACCTCACGGAGCTTGGCGCTTGGTGATGTGAGAGCCTGGTCCGGTGAGAACCCGGCGTGCTCCGTCCCGGCTTTGTGGGGATGCGAGGACAACGGTCTAAGGGCTACGGCATGCGGCATGCACGACAATGTGTCCCCCCCCCCCCTCCCCCCCCCGACATCGGGGTTGGGTTTTCGTCGCTTGGCAATGACGCTGTAAAACAAGCAGCCCCTTCAGTGTTTGCCATCGGGATTGGGTTTTCGTCGCTTGGCAACGACTTTGAAAAACGAGCCAATTCACTTCGTGAACTCGGCAACCAGGTTACCGTTTTTTTTT